ATATCAAAACTATCCGATATTCAATATTTTTATAAGATTTTTCGTTTCGAATATGCTGTTTTATTTCATATTTATCGACTTTCTGACAACTTTTTTTAGAAATTTTACATGAGAATTTTCTTTAAAAAAAACATTGTTTTCTATTGCTTATTTTAGAATATTCTATATAATTAAATAATCGTATTTCGATAATTATGAAAACAAAAATATTAATCTTTTTTAAATTAATATTTTTCATAATTTATAATGATTCATAAGCATGGGCATCCGCAGAGGTGGCAAACGGGACACTTGTCCTCCCCTGGAATTTAATAAAATATTCCACAAATTATAATGGTAAAAGTGATTGAGATATATATATGCTTTGTCTGTCTTAAAAATCCCAAAAATTAAATAAAAATTTACTGATGTAATTATTTATCTCCAGGTTTTGCTCCTCCTGGAAAATTTTCTGCGTATTTCTAACACGCTTTCTTAACACATTGAAAGCTATTTTTATTTTAAATTAAATTGTCCTAAATTACTGTTATGTCTAACCATTTTAAAATTATACAGTATACGTTAATAATTTAATTGAGTAAGAAGTTCTTATAATTCTTATAAGTTCTATTACAGGTTGTGAGCTCTTTCTATTCTAATTTACATATTAAATACAGTATTTAACATAAACCATTAATAATTTAAATGAAAAGAGGTAATTATTTGACATAATTTATCTACATTTTTCAATGATTGTACAGTATTTATAAGTCTTGTTAACGTAAAATTAGTTAAAACTTCTTAGATTATTTATTTGTTTTTATCAATTTTATATTGTAAATATTGATATATACATAGTAGTTGCTCCTAAATAATTTTATATATTAAATAATTAGTGATGAAAATTATTTCATCACTAATTATTTAATGTAAAAGAGAAAGTGAGAAAATTCAAGAATTAAATTGTACAAACTCTGTTGTCTGGAATCAGAAAATAGTTAGGAAAATTAATTAAGGTAGTGATTGTTTAATTAATTGTTATTTTAATTTCAAAATAGAATAAAATCTTATTAAATTATTTTAATGCGTTTAAATCTCTATTTCTCGAGTTCTAAACAAGCTATTGCTTATTACCATAATATTTTAAATTATTTATTATATTTAATTTTAATATTTTTATTATGAATAAAAGAGGTTTATGATAGTTATTTTCTCTATTAAGCAATACAATAAGGATTTATTGCTTTTGTTTTATTGTTAAGCTGTAATTGCTAAATATTTATAACAATATTTTTAAAAAGTAATTCTAAAAATGATTATTTTGGTGAGAATGAACTTTATATTTCATACATTTTATGATAAAGAATTAAATTATTATATTATTTTACACAAATATCTCTAAAATAATTCTCATTAATATAATTTTAGTTTAATGTGTTGTGGATATCAAACGAGTTTTGTCATAATATGAATTAATATTTTATTGCGATCGTCTGCAATCGAAACAGATGGGAATATGGATTTATTGATGTTACACGTTACTCGTTAGAAATACACGTTAGAAATGTATTTCAGCTACTATTATCGCTCATTTAATTTCTTTGTATTCGTCTACATTAATATGCAATAAGATAAAATATATCTTTTTTTTATTGAATTTAATATATTAACATAATTAAAATTGAAATTAAAATGATTTCTTTATAATAATTGTACAAGATTTTTTGCTTCCAATTAACATCTCTTCGAAAATGTTTTCTTTCCAAATCATTCTATTGATAGATCTAACCAGGACCAGGTCATACAGCGCAGTACAAAAGACGCCGTGTTTTTGGGGACCCGCTTGGTTAATAAAATTAATGAAAGTTGCGAGACCTTATAAATTATTTACTCGTCAAAATCCGTGACATTCGTTACTGAATCATCTACATATTATTCTTTTATTGTTCATTTGAAAATTTACAGATTCTCATTAATTATTTTAAACTTGATTACAATAAGATTTTCTATATCTAAAGGATTTTTTTCTGTTACTTCTTGAATATAATTAGGCCATTTCACAATATTTAGTTATTTAATAACTTATTATAAATGATTCTCTTATGAGTTTACGACGTATCACTATTATTAATTATTTTTAAATAATCCATTAACTTATATTTTTATTCATTTTTTTATTGCAATAGGTCTATATTATATGTGGTGAAGAGATTGAATTCATTTCAGGTGATTAATTTGAGTGCCTAAAGGGTTAACATTATTCTCCTTGTGAATAATGTAATATAATTATTTCCTCCTGTGAGTAATAATGAATAAGTAAATGTCAATAAAGTTTATATATATATTTATATTTTCTCACTATCCTGTTAACAGTCATATTGGAGCGTAGAAGTTTTATCTATTGATTTCAAACGGTGCAGTGCATAATGATTATGTGGCTAGGTTCAATATTGATTTTGCTCAATGATAATATTCATTTTATGATATGTAGAACACATAAATTATTTCAGAAATTATCGATTATTTTTAAACGATTAGAAAATATTTTCGATGTATAATCATTCGATTCACTGAACAATATACACTATTCTTTCTGGTACAAATTTTAAACAGTTTAAATGTACTTTATTAGGAAAATGTTTAAAATTATATTATTAAGAAAATATTTAAAATCCACACAGTGCCGCACCGAAGAAATTTCGGACCTTGGGAAAATTTGCGATATGACCCCAAAAAGTGTGAGTAGATTTAAATATCTGAACACTGAACACTCTTGGAAAATGTTAGTAAGTTATATTCATATATTTACTATACAGTATACACTTAAATTATTTTTAGTTTTCACATATGAATTCAATATAAATTTATTTATATGTGAAAGCTAAAGAAATATGTAAATTCAATATGTGAATTTAAAAATCGATTTATGAACCAATGAGATGCGGTTGTAGACAATTGCCTAGTTTGTCTACGCCCCTGATAATAACATTTTATTAAAATTAATTTAAATATTTATTTATGAAAAAGAAAATAAGTAGTTTTTAAAAAATATATCGATTTTTCATAACATATAAAACATTAAGAGAAAAATTATATATGTATTTTTTCTTAATTAATATCAGACTCGAAATTATTATAATTAAAATTATTAAATCAAATAATTAATCTAATAACTAAAATTATGTTTATTAAATTTGAACAGCACTTGAATTCTCGAATTGGTTACTTATAATTAAAATGTTCCTCAATATATTTAATAGCTTTATTATAATGCTTACAGACGGATTAAAGTTCAATGTTCACTATTCTGAACGTGCATACAATTACGATTTATTGTCAATTTAATATCCTACGTTATTGATAATAGTACACAGACTAAACACTCAAAATTACATTTTATCTTTTCAGCAAACAGATAAATAAAACAAAAATACATTTCTGTAAGAAGTGAGCAAAATTAGGTGCCTTGCTTTAATTGTTCTTTAAATATAGGCCTATCTTACTTGTTAGTTAACTAACTTTTAAGCAACTCACATATAGAAATAACGCTATAATTTGAGCAGTCGTTAATATAGAATATAGTTTTAAAACAACGAACAAATTTATTGCTTGATTGTTTAATATATTCATGTAAGATCGATTTAAAGGAATGATGAATCGATTCATCGATTTATATTCGAAATGCAAATTCTATGTAGAACAGTGGTACCCAAACTTTTTGATTGGCGGGCCAAATTGCCTAATTCGAAGAAAGGCAAGACATAAATATTTTGTATATTTCGTATATACAGTACTATACTAAAAATATAAGTGGTAGAAATAGTTCTAAGTGATGTGTCGAATGTGTTCGCGGGCCGAATTTAGCCCAGAGTCGTAGTTTGGGCATCACTTGTATAGATTATTAAAAAGCTATCTTTTTATTCGAAATTGTAACGTTTTTGCCTTTCTATTAACAATATCGTTTGTAATAAATATTTGAGTATGATTTGTAAATTACTGCTTTTAGGATAAATCACTAAGATAATCAACGAATTGTTTCAACATTCATAAAAAAGATATTAACCTAAATAAATGGTTCGTGAGACCATATTTTAAATTCTACGATCGTGCTGTTACAGATAAATATATTTCTACTCGAATACAAATGCACGATAAACCTTGTTTTTTAAGCATTAGGCTATGTTGGTTTTTCTAAGCAATGTTTGATTCGGTAAACAATTTTTTTTTAAAGTTACATCATTGGTAATAAAAGTTACGTTGGAAATTTCTTTAAATAAAAAATAATCGTTAAAAAACTTATAATCGTATTAAAATTAACTTATATATTATTATATAATGTATAACAATAACAATTTATTATCTAATAGGAACATACTATAATTATTATTGAGAAATAAATTTATTTAAATATTTTTTACATTAGTAAGCGATATTAGACGAGTCTGTAAGTGCTTTTAAAAATCAATTTATAGAGCGATTTCAAATTTGAACGGATCCGAATAAGGTTCGCATTGTTTCGAAATATCTAAATTTCAATAGTTTTTACTATATACAGAAATGTTTATGCTACCAGTTTAATATAAATGCATCCACTATAGATATATTCTCTTATAAGTAAATATTCGCTATCTATTAAATTACATTAGTTTAACTAAGAAAAAATAATTTTCAAATAAAAATAAAATATTCACGCAATAACATCCTTTGTTTCTCGGCAAGCTGAAATTCAATGTTACTCTATTTTCAGTATAAAGATCTGATCGCGGCGCAACTCTGATGTCGTACACATGTGTTTATAATTAAAATGAATTAAAACTTATACTATAGCATTAACACGTCTCCAATAATTTTATAGTACATATAGCGGATATTTTTATTTATACGGGAACAGGGCTAAATTTTAGACTTGTTATGGCCCTAATTATGGTCCCATTCTATAAAAAAGAGGGCATAAACTATGGAAAAAAGGTCATTATATAAAATATACAGTATATATATATATCCCTTGATTAATGTAGTTAATTAATCCGTCGATGCTAACGCGTATATCAAAATCGCGTTAATTAAATAAGGTGGACTGTACCTCGGTACTCGACCGAACAATCACAACCCGCTGAAACAATAATAATAAATATTTTTATTTTAATTTTGTCATCAGTAAAAAAGTTTTCAGTAATAAAAATAAGTAACTAATTTAAAAACAAAATGAAACTTTAGAATTTCCTTGGGGATTAAGAAAATGGCAAAGGTGGGAGACACGTGCCTCAAGTGTCCCAATGTACGGGCGCCCCTGTATAACAAATAAGAGGCTCTGCAGCTTTCAATCGAAAAGTAATAAGTTAATTTTAAAAACGTAAAATTCTAAGCCGTAACTTGTTTAATTTTGTGTACGAATCTGACTTCGATTCTGATTACAATAAATAGAAAAGCTAGAAAATACTTAATAATCTTTACGTTTTGACTCGACACTCTAAGAGGATTACTTTCGTTATTAGTTAATAAAAAATAAATACAATTAATCGTTTTATTCTTACTTAATGAGAGTCATTTATTCTAATGAATTAAAAGTAAATATTTTGTAGAGATATCGACAGATTTATAGTATCGGAAGTATTTCAAACATGCATTTTACGATAGAAGATATTGTGAAGTAAAATAATGAAAAATAATTTTTTATAGTTTATTTATGAGTGTAGCAGAATTTGAAATATTCAAAGTTTTTTAAATTATTTTTGCACGTATTGTTTCTTTAATTAAAAACAAAAAAATAAAAAGTAAAACACAATTAAAATTAATTCAATAACGTTCAAGGACAGTTTGAATGACGCGTGGAACAATCAATGAATTTCGATGAAAGACTTATCGTTTTCTGTCAGATATAAGACGTCTCAGACAGATATTTTAAAACTTAAAACTTCTATATTTCTCGTGCAAATTTAATTATTTTCCACAATATATTATTTCTATTTATTATCAATTTGCATTACTAATTAGTTAATATTATCTACTGCTCTATTGTTTCAAAAAATAAATATAATATCTATAATAAACAAGTCGAATATACAATAGTGTGTATATAAATCGAAATAAATAAATTTAAACTTGTTATAAATACATTTAATTTTCATTTATGTTTCAGATAAGGAAATTAATAAAAATGTAATATTTAAGTTTTCTTTTAGTGCACTTTTAATCCATTTATTTATAATTTTAATGATAAGGAAGACAATAATTAGCAAAGAACAACCATTGAAACATTTACTTATTGAGAAACCGATTCAAAAACAATTCTTCATTGTTTTGAATGAATATTTCCTGTAGAAAGATTGCGAATTATATTTTTAAAAAGCTCATGATCTTTCAATGTAACAAAAAAAACCTAGAAAAATTATTTTTAAAGTTTTTTGTATACTTAAACATCCTTATTGTGTAACAATAAAGTATCTTATCTGTCTCATGGCAAGCTTTTAAATTATAAAAATTTCAATGGAGGAAAATATTATCCACTTTAATTGTTAACTACATTTGTAACAAAATTTCAAGGGCATTTTATATAAACTTATCATACGATAATTGTCTTTAAATTATATGTCTACTATTTGATAAATTAATTGTTTTTTTTCCCGTTGCTCAATTTAGTTTTAAACATTGTTTATAATATTTTATAAATAACGAGTCACGGTTTAGTTGATTCATTTTATTTTTCTTAGATAAGCGTTTATGCAATACGACAAGACAATCAGGCCACATATTTTGATTCTAATCACAATGATTAATGGAATTCTATAGTTATTTATAAATGTTTATAATATTAAGTGACACTTTTATAATATTAGAAACGAATTCTTCCAAATTTATAAAATGAATTATAATATTTTACGTACTTTTTGTACAGTGGATAGCGTTTTCGATATATAAACAATGAATAAAATAGGAAACCTACGTGAGTTGTAACACGAAAATTATTTTGTTGCGAAATATCCTCTCTGTGATAGTTTCGTAGAATTTTGCTTTCATTTGTAATTGGCGGAGAGACTTTCAATGAGGATGTAGTTTGCACACGATACTCTTTACACTGGTCTTTATAAGTAGAAACTTTGACCTTTGCGACGGGACACATCTGGAAGTAAAATGCCTTGCCCGTGTGGAAGTAAGTATTTTTTTATTATTATTAAAAATTAAATGTTTTAGATAATTATTCTATTTTGGGAGTTTAATTTATTTTACATTTTTTGTCTTCTGTTGGCTAGGTCAATGCAAGTGTGGAGGGAACTGTAACTGCAGCGGCGGCAGTTGCAAGTGTTGTAGTGGAAATAAATGTCCAAGTAAGTGTCTGTCTTTTTTTAAATGCTATGGAAATTTTGCTAATATATTGATATAAATTACTTGTGCAAAATGTAAATTTATTTATTTTTTTAAATTAATTAATTTAATAATTTTTAATACATACGCAAGATCGTTTTTATATTTAAACTTAGACATATTTTATAACGTAAATTACTCGAGATTTATTTAAAACATTTAAATCATATATTTTCTTCATAAATCGATATTTTTGGTATTATAACGAACTATTTAAGTTGTGCATTTAAAATAAAAACTTTAGCTGCGATTTTTTTTGTGGTTAATATTTAAGATATAAGTTAAAATTGTATTTATGAATAAAAATGTTTTAAGAGAAATGAATGATATTTAATGATTTCTAGTATTTTATATTTACTTCATTGGCATCTATACATTTGAACTAATTTCTATCTACAAAAATTAATATTCTTTCCATAATTTTATGATGACCAAAAATCTACATTATATGCAATAAGTACAGTACAGTAACTTAAAATTCTTTTATAATCCTAAATTTATATATTTAAAGTAACAGATTATGGTATAGGATTATATAAAAATCTATATATATAAAACTGACATTGCTTTCTGAGAACTGGCACTTTTAGGGCCTGAACCGCTAATCTCTTGCAAGATTCCCTTTAAAAATATCTTAAGGGATTTTGATTTCTTCTTGCACCTCGTCCCAAATAAATTTCTACATAGAGCCGTAGCTTTTTAGTCCATTGCCCATAGATGTTTGTCAGGCGTGAGGGGCACCAAGCGCCTCTCACGACTTGCGCCCGTGACACTTGCCCCATAGCCAATGCATTGCTACAGCTCTGCTTCTGCACGATCCTGATATTTATTTTTGCAATATTTACATAATAAAATTTGTGTGTTTCTTTTCGTTTTTGTCAAAATTAACTTTTTTGGTTCTTCCATATCTGCTAGAACTATACACGCTGGTGTCTCGTGCGCTTAATTACGACTCTGGCTCTCTCCTACTATGAAATTTTATGAACCTTTTATCTGTAATTTCTTTAATGTATAATATAATATTTTCTAGATTATATAAGTTACATATGTATGTGTGTAAACAGTTTATTTTGACATGTAGACATATAAATCAATATTTCAATTGAATTTAATTAATTTGAAAAATATATTTCAGAATTTAGGATTTGAATGTTTACGCGAAATTCATTAACACATCATAGAATATATCACTCAATTAAATTTCGTTCATTACCTGTCATACTGTTGATGAGTGTGAGGCTTAACAGATTATTATTTAAGCTTACTTTATTATTAAACGGTTTTATTTAGCTTGCTTGTATCATGTCTTCAAATCTTGCAACTTGAAATTCATCTGCTTTTAATTAAGATAGAAGGCTGAAACTTTCAGGACACACCTAAGTCCAATGATAATGTATTTTTATGATGTTTTAGGGGTCACCCTACCCCGAAACTCCTTAAACATAACTAAATGTATACTTTAATAATGTGTATGTGTGTGTGTAAATTATACATTGTAACGATGTTCAGTACTTGTATATAGTGGGGTCATGGAGGTCACAAACTTCCAATCTCGAAATATATAATCAATAAAAGTTTTTAAATTTTTTTTAAAATTAAACATATTTTAAAAAGTTTCAATTTGCTTCTGCAAAAGAGAATTCATCGAGAAAACGTCATAACTTGAGTAATTATAAAATTTTGTTTTATATTGTATGTACCGTACATATTATGTAAATTTAGTCTAAATATGATAGTCTACATCGCAACTTTCATCACAGTTTAACCAAAAAGTTGAGATGTTTGCCAAAGATGCGACATAGAAAAATATTAAATTTTTAAAATTTGTAATCTTTTGTTTATTATTATACCAATTTAATTGTATTTAATTTTTTTTTCTTAATTTCAGATGGAGGCAATTGCGGAAATAACCCATGCACATGCAAAAAGTGATAAAATATTTTGAATCAAAAACTATATATAAAATTATATATAGTTAGTCGTTTCTGAACATATTTTTTATAATGTTTGATAAATTTTTAATTTGTAGCTTTAGAATTGATGAACATAAATGACAGCAAAAAAGAAATAAATATATGTTAAAAAATGTATTTTTTATTAATCATTTTAAAATTTTAATTATACTCATATCTATATACACAAACATATTCGACACACGAATCAAATATCGGAGTTAAGAACGTTGTAAAGGTACAGCACATTCCTTTGATATTTAAGATTTATAATGAAACAAATTATGTAACTAAATATAAAAATAGCTTTATTATACAAATTCTTTAATCGCAATTAAAGAATTTGTATCTCGTCCAGTTTGTATCATACATTCGTCCCGGACGAAGCCGGGTCGAATGTATGATACATAAAAAAAGATTATTTTAGTATTTGAAAGACAAAGAAGGATACTTAAAAACAATAAATTTTAATTACTTCCACAGCTTATAAATTAATTTACGGAAGAATTAACTTCATTTAAATACTGTATTAAAATGTAAGATACTTAAATCTAATTTCTATAAACTAGGAAAATGTTAATGTAGTTATAAAGTTGTTATTTAATAAAAAACACGAAATTAAAATTTTATTTTTATCTGAATCTAACTTATATCTTCTGTGGAGTTGTTTACGCTATTGAAATTAGCTTACATATGGGAATTACGATTTACAACATTACAAAAGCGACTTAATGTGGACTGAGAAGATGGAGTTACCGAAAATGACGAGTTTTAGGGCTTACCGATGATGTTGGTCTAAATACATACGTACGTACATACATACATACATACATACATGAAAGACTTCGGTCGTACACGAGTCAAAACTGAAAAAAATAAATGAATAAATAAAATATACCACATTTAAAAATAACATTTGTATTATTAATCAAAATAAATAACTAAAATTGTATATGACGCCATCTGTTATGAGATATTTTTAATAAAATCTTTATATATTTTTAATTATTATAAAATGGCAAAAGACTTAATTTCGAGGATAGAAATGAATTTTATAAAACACTTTAAATGCTAACAACAAGTAAAAATCTTCATTAAGTCTGACCCCTCACGCGATATATCACATGGCCACCCCTTCTTTCCGTCCTCTTTATCTTTCACACGACATTTGGCATGGTGGCTTGTATATGAGAGACATTGATGCTATTAAATTTTGATGGTGAAAGGTTCAGAGAGTGGAGAGATAGAGGTGTCATGCGTCATATCTCGAGATGAAAGAAATGGAGATTGTATTCGTTAGTAACATTTATACTTTTTTCATAAAACTCATCCCTACCCTCAAAATTAACCCTTTTGCTATTTTATGATAATTAAAAATGTAAAAAGTTTTTAGAACAAAATCTGTTAATAGATGGCGCCACACATTTTTATTTATCTTGCTGAGTACAGTATAAATGAAAGTTTCTTAAATAAAAACTCATAACCGCCGAGAAAGTTATGCAACTCGTTGCTGAATTTTTTTTACTTTTTTGGGTTCAGGAGATATCAAAACGCTGAGATTTGCAAAAAAAAACTCGGAGGGTCAAATTGAACAGGATTCCATTACTTTCCCTTGTATACATAACAGNCAGTGCATAATGATTATGTGGCTAGGTTCAATATTGATTTTGCTCAATGATAATATTCATTTTATGGTATGTAGAACACATAAATTATTTCAGTAATTATCGATTATTTTTAAACGATTAGAAAATATTTTCGATGTATAATCATTCGATTCACTGAACAATATACACTATTCTTTCTGGTACAAATTTTAAACAGTTTAAATGTACTTTATTAGGAAAATGTTTAAAATTATATTATTAAGAAAATATTTAAAATCCACACAGTGCCGCACCGAAGAAATTTCGGACCTTGGGAAAATTTGCGATATGACCCCAAAAAGTGTGAGTAGATTTAAATATCTGAACACTGAACACTCTTGGAAAATGTTAGTAAGTTATATTCATATATTTACTATACAGTATACACTTAAATTATTTTTAGTTTTCACATATGAATTCAATATAAATTTATTTATATGTGAAAGCTAAAGAAATATGTAAATTCAATATGTGAATTTAAAAATCGATTTATGAACCAATGAGATGCGGTTGTAGACAATTGCCTAGTTTGTCTACGCCCCTGATAATAACATTTTATTAAAATTAATTTAAATATTTATTTATGAAAAAGAAAATAAGTAGTTTTTAAAAAATATATCGATTTTTCATAACATATAAAACATTAAGAGAAAAATTATATATGTATTTTTTCTTAATTAATATCAGACTCGAAATTATTATAATTAAAATTATTAAATCAAATAATTAATCTAATAACTAAAATTATGTTTATTAAATTTGAACAGCACTTGAATTCTCGAATTGGTTACTTATAATTAAAATGTTCCTCAATATATCTAATAGCTTTATTATAATGCTTACAGACGGATTAAAGTTCAATGTTCACTATTCTGAACGTGCATACAATTACGATTTATTGTCAATTTAATATCCTACGTTATTGATAATAGTACACAGACTAAACACTCAAAATTACATTTTATCTTTTCAGCAAACAGATAAATAAAAAAAAATACATTTCTGTAAGAAGTGAGCAAAATTAGGTGCCTTGCTTTAATTGTTCTTTAAATATAGGCCTATCTTACTTGTTAGTTAACTAACTTTTAAGCAACTCACATATAGAAATAACGCTATAATTTGAGCAGTCGTTAATATAGAATATAGTTTTAAAACAACGAACAAATTTATTGCTTGATTGTTTAATATATTCATGTAAGATCGATTTAAAGGAATGATGAATCGATTCATCGATTTATATTCGAAATGCAAATTCTATGTAGAACAGTGGTACCCAAACTTTTTGATTGGCGGGCCAAATTGCCTAATTCGAAGAAAGGCAAGACATAAATATTTTGTATATTTCGTATATACAGTACTATACTAAAAATATAAGTGGTAGAAATAGTTCTAAGTGATGTGTCGAATGTGTTCGCGGGCCGAATTTAGCCCAGAGTCGTAGTTTGGGCACCACTTGTATAGATTATTAAAAAGCTATCTTTTTATTCGAAATTGTAACGTTTTTGCCTTTCTATTAACAATATCGTTTGTAATAAATATTTGAGTATGATTTGTAAATTACTGCTTTTAGGATAAATCACTAAGATAATCAACGAATTGTTTCAACATTCATAAAAAAGATATTAACCTAAATAAATGGTTCGTGAGACCATATTTTAAATTCTACGATCGTGCTGTTACAGATAAATATATTTCTACTCGAATACAAATGCACGATAAACCTTGTTTTTTAAGCATTAGGCTATGTTGGTTTTTCTAAGCAATGTTTGATTCGGTAAACAATTTTTTTTTTAAAGTTACATCATTGGTAATAAAAGTTACGTTGGAAATTTCTTTAAATAAAAAATAATCGTTAAAAAACTTATAATCGTATTAAAATTAACTTATATATTATTATATAATGTATAACAATAACAATTTATTATCTAATAGGAACATACTATAATTATTATTGAGAAATAAATTTATTTAAATATTTTTTACATTAGTAAGCGATATTAGACGAGTCTGTAAGTGCTTTTAAAAATCAATTTATAGAGCGATTTCAAATTTGAACGGATCCGAATAAGGTTCGCATTGTTTCGAAATATCTAAATTTCAATAGTTTTTACTATATACAGAAATGTTTATGCTACCAGTTTAATATAAATGCATCCACTATAGATATATTCTCTTATAAGTAAATATTCGCTATCTATTAAATTACATTAGTTTAACTAAGAAAAAATAATTTTCAAATAAAAATAAAATATTCACGCAATAACATCCTTTGTTTCTCGGCAAGCTGAAATTCAATGTTACTCTATTTTCAGTATAAAGATCTGATCGCGGCGCAACTCTGATGTCGTACACATGTGTTTATAATTAAAATGAATTAAAACTTATACTATAGCATTAACACGTCTCCAATAATTTTATAGTACATATAGCGGATATTTTTATTTATACGGGAACAGGGCTAAATTTTAGACTTGTTATGGCCCTAATTATGGTCCCATTCTATAAAAAAGAGGGCATAAACTATGGAAAAAAGGTCATTATATAAAATATACAGTATATATATATATCCCTTGATTAATGTAGTTAATTAATCCGTCGATGCTAACGCGTATATCAAAATCGCGTTAATTAAATAAGGTGGACTGTACCTCGGTACTCGACCGAACAATCACAACCCGCTGAAACAATAATAATAAATATTTTTATTTTAATTTTGTCATCAGTAAAAAAGTTTTCAGTAATAAAAATAAGTAACTAATTTAAAAACAAAATGAAACTTTAGAATTTCCTTGGGGATTAAGAAAATGGCAAAGGTGGGAGACACGTGCCTGAAGTGTCCCAATGTACGGGCGCCCCTGTATAACAAATAAGAGGCTCTGCAGCTTTCAATCGAAAAGTAATAAGTTAATTTTAAAAACGTAAAATTCTAAGCCGTAACTTGTTTAATTTTGTGTACGAATCTGACTTCGATTCTGATTACAATAAATAGAAAAGCTAGAAAATACTTAATAATCTTTACGTTTTGACTCGACACTCTAAGAGGATTACTTTCGTTATTAGTTAATAAAAAATAAATACAATTAATCGTTTTATTCTTACTTAATGAGAGTCATTTATTCTAATGAATTAAAAGTAAATATTTTGTAGAGATATCGACAGATTTATAGTATCGGAAGTATTTCAAACATGCATTTTACGATAGAAGATATTGTGAAGTAAAATAATGAAAAATAATTTTTTATAGTTTATTTATGAGTGTAGCAGAATTTGAAATATTCAAAGTTTTTTAAATTATTTTTGCACGTATTGTTTCTTTAATTAAAAACAAAAAAATAAAAAGTAAAACACAATTAAAATTAATTCAATAACGTTCAAGGACAGTTTGAATGACGCGTGGAACAATCAATGAATTTCGATGAAAGACTTATCGTTTTCTGTCAGATATAAGACGTCTCAGACAGATATTTTAAAACTTAAAACTTCTATATTTCTCGTGCAAATTTAATTATTTTCCACAATATATTATTTCTATTTATTATCAATTTGCATTACTAATTAGTTAATATTATCTACTGCTCTATTGTTTCAAAAAATAAATATAATATCTATAATAAACAAGTCGAATATACAATAGTGTGTATATAAATCGAAATAAATAAATTTAAACTTGTTATAAATACATTTAATTTTCATTTATGTTTCAGATAAGGAAATTAATAAAAATGTAATATTTAAGTTTTCTTTTAGTGCACTTTTAATCCATTTATTTATAATTTTAATGATAAGGAAGACAATAATTAGCAAAGAACAACCATTGAAACATTTACTTATTGAGAAACCGATTCAAAAACAATTCTTCATTGTTTTGAATGAATATTTCCTGTAGAAAGATTGCGAATTATATTTTTAAAAAGCTCATGATCTTTCAATGTAACAAAAAAAACCTAGAAAAATTATTTTTAAAGTTTTTTGTATACTTAAACATCCTTATTGTGTAACAATAAAGTATCTTATCTGTCTCATGGCAAGCTTTTAAATTATAAAAATTTCAATGGAGGAAAATATTATCCACTTTAATTGTTAACTACATTTGTAACAAAATTTCAAGGGCATTTTATATAAACTTATCATACGATAATTGTCTTTAAATTATATGTCTACTATTTGATAAATTAATTGTTTTTTTTCCCGTTGCTCAATTTAGTTTTAAACATTGTTTATAATATTTTATAAATAACGAGTCACGGTTTAGTTGATTCATTTTATTTTTCTTAGATAAGCGTTTATGCAATACGACAAGACAATCAGGCCACATATTTTGATTCTAATCACAATGATTAATGGAATTCTATAGTTATTTATAAATGTTTATAATATTAAGTGACACTTTTATAATATTAGAAACGAATTCTTCCAAATTTATAAAATGAATTATAATATTTTACGTACTTTTTGTACAGTGGATAGCGTTTTCGATATATAAACAATGAATAAAATAGGAAACCTACGTGAGTTGTAACACGAAAATTATTTTGTTGCGAAATATCCTCTCTGTGATAGTTTCGTAGAATTTTGCTTTCATTTGTAATTGGCGGAGAGACTTTCAATGAGGATGTAGTTTGCACACGATACTCTTTACACTGGTCTTTATAAGTAGAAACTTTGACCTTTGCGACGGGACACATCTGGAAGTAAAATGCCTTGCCCGTGTGGAAGTAAGTATTTTTTTATTATTATTAAAAATTAAATGTTTTAGATAATTATTCTATTTTGGGAGTTTAATTTATTTTACATTTTTTGTCTTCTGTTGGCTAGGTCAATGCAAGTGTGGAGGGAACTGTAACTGCAGCGGCGGCAGTTGCAAGTGTTGTAGTGGAAATAAATGTCCAAGTAAGTGTCTGTCTTTTTTTAAATGCTATGGAAATTTTGCTAATATATTGATATAAATTACTTGTGCAAAATGTAAATTTATTTATTTTTTTAAATTAATTAATTTAATAATTTTTAATACATACGCAAGATCGTTTTTATATTTAAACTTAGACATATTTTATAACGTAAATTACTCGAGATTTATTTAAAACATTTAAATCATATATTTTCTTCATAAATCGATATTTTTGGTATTATAACGAACTATTTAAGTTGTGCATTTAAAATAAAAACTTTAGCTGCGATTTTTTTTGTGGTTAATATTTAAGATATAAGTTAAAATTGTATTTATGAATAAAAATGTTTTAAGAGAAATGAATGATATTTAATGATTTCTAGTATTTTATATTTACTTCATTGGCATCTATACATTTGAACTAATTTCTATCTACAAAAATTAATATTCTTTCCATAATTTTATGATGACCAAAAATCTACATTATATGCAATAAGTACAGTACAGTAACTTAAAATTCTTTTATAATCCTAAATTTATATATTTAAAGTAACAGATTATGGTATAGGATTATATAAAAATCTATATATATAAAACTGACATTGCTTTCTGAGAACTGGCACTTTTAGGGCCTGAACCGCTAATCTCTTGCAAGATTCCCTTTAAAAATATCTTAAGGGATTTTGATTTCTTCTTGCACCTCGTCCCAAATAAATTTCTACATAGAGCCGTAGCTTTTTAGTCCATTGCCCATAGATGTTTGTCAGGCGTGAGGGGCACCAAGCGCCTCTCACGACTTGCGCCCGTGACACTTGCCCCATAGCCAATGCATTGCTACAGCTCTGCTTCTGCACGATCCTGATATTTATTTTTGCAATATTTACATAATAAAATTTGTGTGTTTCTTTTCGTTTTTGTCAAAATTAACTTTTTTGGTTCTTCCATATCTGCTAGAACTATACACGCTGGTGTCTCGTGCGCTTAATTACGACTCTGGCTCTCTCCTACTATGAAATTTTATGAACCTTTTATCTGTAATTTCTTTAATGTATAATATAATATTTTCTAGATTATATAAGTTACATATGTATGTGTGTAAACAGTTTATTTTGACATGTAGACATATAAATCAATATTTCAATTGAATTTAATTAATTTGAAAAATATATTTCAGAATTTAGGATTTGAATGTTTACGCGAAATTCATTAACACATCATAGAATATATCACTCAATTAAATTTCGTTCATTACCTGTCATACTGTTGATGAGTGTGAGGCTTAACAGATTATTATTTAAGCTTACTTTATTATTAAACGGTTTTATTTAGCTTGCTTGTATCATGTCTTCAAATCTTGCAACTTGAAATTCATCTGCTTTTAATTAAGATAGAAGGCTGAAACTTTCAGGACACACCTAAGTCCAATGATAATGTATTTTTATGATGTTTTAGGGGTCACCCTACCCCGAAACTCCTTAAACATAACTAAATGTATACTTTAATAATGTGTATGTGTGTGTGTAAATTATACATTGTAACGATGTTCAGTACTTGTATATAGTGGGGTCATGGAGGTCACAAACTTCCAATCTCGAAATATATAATCAATAAAAGTTTTTAAATTTTTTTTAAAATTAAACATATTTTAAAAAGTTTCAATTTGCTTCTGCAAAAGAGAATTCATCGAGAAAACGTCATAACTTGAGTAATTATAAAATTTTGTTTTATATTGTATGTACCGTACATATTATGTAAATTTAGTCTAAATATGATAGTCTACATCGCAACTTTCATCACAGTTTAACCAAAAAGTTGAGATGTTTGCCAAAGATGCGACATAGAAAAATATTAAATTTTTAAAATTTGTAATCTTTTGTTTATTATTATACCAATTTAATTGTATTTAATTTTTTTTTCTTAATTTCAGATGGAGGCAATTGCGGAAATAACCCATGCACATGCAAAAAGTGATAAAATATTTTGAATCAAAAACTATATATAAAATTATATATAGTTAGTCGTTTCTGAACATATTTTTTATAATGTTTGATAAATTTTTAATTTGTAGCTTTAGAATTGATGAACATAAATGACAGCAAAAAAGAAATAAATATATGTTAAAAAATGTATTTTTTATTAATCATTTTAAAATTTTAATTATACTCATATCTATATACACAAACATATTCGACACACGAATCAAATATCGGAGTTAAGAACGTTGTAAAGGTACAGCACATTCCTTTGATATTTAAGATTTATAATGAAACAAATTATGTAACTAAATATAAAAATAGCTTTATTATACAAATTCTTTAATCGCAATTAAAGAATTTGTATCTCGTCCAGTTTGTATCATACATTCGTCCCGGACGAAGCCGGGTCGAATGTATGATACATAAAAAAAGATTATTTTAGTATTTGAAAGACAAAGAAGGATACTTAAAAACAATAAATTTTAATTACTTCCACAGCTTATAAATTAATTTACGGAAGAATTAACTTCATTTAAATACTGTATTAAAATGTAAGATACTTAAATCTAATTTCTATAAACTAGGAAAATGTTAATGTAGTTATAAAGTTGTTATTTAATAAAAAACACGAAATTAAAATTTTATTTTTATCTGAATCTAACTTATATCTTCTGTGGAGTTGTTTACGCTATTGAAATTAGCTTACATATGGGAATTACGATTTACAACATTACAAAAGCGACTTAATGTGGACTGAGAAGATGGAGTTACCGAAAATGACGAGTTTTAGGGCTTACCGATGATGTTGGTCTAAATACATACGTACGTACATACATACATACATACATACATGAAAGACTTCGGTCGTACACGAGTCAAAACTGAAAAAAATAAATGAATAAATAAAATATACCACATTTAAAAATAACATTTGTATTATTAATCAAAATAAATAACTAAAATTGTATATGACGCCATCTGTTATGAGATATTTTTAATAAAATCTTTATATATTTTTAATTATTATAAAATGGCAAAAGACTTAATTTCGAGGATAGAAATGAATTTTATAAAACACTTTAAATGCTAACAACAAGTAAAAATCTTCATTAAGTCTGACCCCTCACGCGATATATCACATGGCCACCCCTTCTTTCCGTCCTCTTTATCTTTCACACGACATTTGGCATGGTGGCTTGTATATGAGAGACATTGATGCTATTAAATTTTGATGGTGAAAGGTTCAGAGAGTGGAGAGATAGAGGTGTCATGCGTCATATCTCGAGATGAAAGAAATGGAGATTGTATTCGTTAGTAACATTTATACTTTTTTCATAAAACTCATCCCTACCCTCAAAATTAACCCTTTTGCTATTTTATGATAATTAAAAATGTAAAAAGTTTTTAGAACAAAATCTGTTAATAGATGGCGCCACACATTTTTATTTATCTTGCTGAGTACAGTATAAATGAAAGTTTCTTAAATAAAAACTCATAACCGCCGAGAAAGTTATGCAACTCGTTGCTGAATTTTTTTTACTTTTTTGGGTTCAGGAGATATCAAAACGCTGAGATTTGCAAAAAAAAACTCGGAGGGTCAAATTGAACAGGATTCCATTACTTTCCCTTGTATACATAACAGCCGGAAAAGTAAAAAGCACTTGAAATCAATCACTTTTAATCATACAAACTGAAAATCCAACCGCTCGCAACAAATTGTAAGAGTTTTATTGTTGCGTCGTTAATTTAATATTAAAAGTTTGAATTTTTTTTACCGAATTTCGTGATTTTCGCGGATCATTCCTTAATGTTAATTGACATAAATATTATATGCAAAAATCTAATATTCTCGTGTTTTATGATGATCATCTCGTATGAAGATGAATAAAAATAAATTCGATTTTATCATGATTCTTAGAACCAACGAGCTAGAATATACAACATAGAGTAGCTGTGAACTTAAATACAGCGCTTTTGGTGGCAAGACGGGTACTATCGACTGTCTTTTTACTTTAAGTCAAAACCAGGGCTGTGGAGTCGGAGTCGTGGAGTTTTGATGTTTTAGTCGGAGTCGGAGTCGGAGTCGGAGTTGGAGTCGGTAGATTTTTACGCGACTTCCACAGCCCTGGCAGGGCTGTTGAGTCGGAGTCGGAGTCGGAGTCGTGGAGTTTTGGTGTTTTAGCCGGAGTCGGATCGGAGTCGGATGATAAGGAAAAGTCGGAGTCGGAGTCGGTAGATTTTTACGCGACTCCACAGCCCTGGTCAAAACATTGAAGTCTATACCACGTGTCGGGCAGGATTGTCATTTAGAATCTAGATATCTAGATTGTTTTATATGTCTCTAGATTTGAGATTTAGTCAATTAGATAAATAATATAAATCTAGATTGTTTCATCTCGAATTTAGCTATTTTTTAGATTTTATTTAATTATTATAAAGAAGGTAAGATCAGAATTTAAACGGGTAAGTGTAGTACTTAACCCGTAATATAACAATATTATTATAATCTAAGTACGAGCCAGGTCTTGAAGGGTTTTACTCTTACTCATATGATTGTTTATTTATAGTATACTCTGGTCATTCTGATTGGTACCATACTCAGAACGCTGTTGATTTTTTCGGACAGTGTTTTTTTCTTTTGAAGACTATAAGTAGTGTTCTTGTGTTTTTATTATAATTATAGTTTGTTTGTGAAAATTTTGGTTTTAACTTGTGAAAATATTTGTAATGATAAACTGCATTTTGACCTTTGTCATGTTGTGAACCACATTGTTGAAGTTAAGATCCTTCTAAGAGGTAATAACGAGCTAATAATTGGGGAAACGAAAGAAGCGTTGCAATTATCCATCAAAAATAGATAAAGAAAACATGCTAGTAAGTGAAAGATACTGATATGTAGAAACTGCACCAATCGGATGTGTACAAATTACGCACTATATGCATCATTATGGATATCAAACGAATATTAACATGAACTAACCTTTTGTGCGTTATGTTGTAGACAACAACCTTAGACCTTAGACCCGTGAGCATGAAGGGGTTGGAAAATTACCAATCCGAAATGAATTGTTAAATAGGCGAAATAAAGTGAACTATTTTAATCTCGGTCTCTGTTAGCTGCGGATCATTAAGAAAGATGCGATAAATATCACTAGTCTCACTATTGGAAGAAACAACCTATACGTACTTATAACTTTTTATATTTTTAATTATTATCGAATAGCAAAAAGCTTAATTTTAAGGATAGTAGTAAGTTTTATTTTTTAAAAAAATGTAAATGTTAATAACGAATAACATCCGATCGATTAAGTTTGACTTCTCTCCAGATATGACATCCCTCTATCTCCTTACCCCTTTAATCTTTAACCACCAAAATTTAATGACATCATTGCTATACACAAGCTATCATGCCAAATTTCGTTTCATATAGGTGCCAACACACATACACGGAATATTTTTCCATATTTTTACTTTTTTGAGTTTAGGAAGTCTGAAAACGTGAAGATTTGCAAAAACATCTCTGAGAGGGAATTTGATACGATTCCAATGCTTTCCCTTTTTATGTATAAATAACAGCCGGAAAAGTAAAATTGAGAATGTTTAAAAATGCATTTAACTTATCGCTACAGAATATTTTGTCTTGTTTAAAAACGTTTAAATAAGGGATTAAAGAAAGAAATATCTGGTTATTCACTTTACGCAACACAAATGGCACGCCCCCTTGACTAAAAGGAAAATGGCAGATGTGTATTCAATTTTCTTTAAACATGGCGTCGCTACAGCCACTCCATATACGAGTAGTACAGTACAATCTAGCTCGTTGCGCTGCTCTGAAATATCTGGATTGGGTCTAAGGAAGGGTGTCGAAAGTACATTATTTTACACAACAAGGAGGAAAGGAATTAAAAGTGATTGGAAAACGTAATAAATGGATGGCTCCTATATTGGTAAACAAATTAAAATTTTTATACATTTATTATTATTATCTTATTCGTGTTTATTTAGTTTTAAATTGAAAATCAATAATAATAAATACAGTACTGTATAATAAAATTAATGGATTTCTTTTTATTGTTTTGACAGTTTTGGATACCAGGGAGCGCTAATCATCGTATTGAATGGGAAAGTTTAAAACGAAGATTGGAGGTGTGTTCAAGTATATTTATTTTATATTAATTCTAAGTGAAAAATTAATCGAATGACTTTTTAAAGGAAATGAGACAAAATAATTGCGGGTTATTAAGGAATAAATTTGTTTTTCAAAATGAAGTTCAATAGTTTTGATATTTTGAAAATGTTTTTTTTAAGCGTGAAAACTTGATTTCGATTTTTCAATATAATCTTGACTATTATTCTTGTTAATTGTTTTTTAGTATGAAAAGATGAAATTTGTCTAATTGAAATAGCACGCGTTATTTATATAAAGTTGTCACAGTTGATAAGACTTTGCTATATCTCCGCAATTTTAATCTATTATTTCCGAAATATCGTTTTAAAGTCTAATTCATCAATTACATCTTTAATTTTAAATCTAAATGAGAAGTATTATCAAGGTTTATTGACTTGCTAGATGGCTAGTTATTGTTAAAATACTTGACTCTCCTATACTATTGAAGGTAAGTTTCACATGGGTATTGAATAAAATCCTGTAGAGAACTAAGATATACTGACAGTTGCAGATTACCAATTCTGTATCTTGGTTTTTGTGTATGTGTTACTGCTAAAGCCTCAAAGTCGTTAATGTGTACATTATCTAGCTAATCTGCAGATTAACTAGGGTGATCAGTTAAAGTTGCTAAAATTGTTCTATTTTCCAAATTACCTAGGTAATGAGCAGATTATCTAGGTAGTCTGCAAATTACCTACTAGGCACTCGGTAAAGTGAAAATAAGATCTTTGCTGGAACAACAGCAACATTTTCTGTACGCTTAAATTAACATATTGTTCTTTATTTAATTTTCGATATCTAAAGAATGAAGTTAATACAATCAAACAATCAACAAATTATTTGATAGAGCAGTGTTTCCCAAACTTTTTTAGGCCATGCCCCACTTTAACATTTCTAAAATCATCATGTCCCCCCATACATAATTTTAGTTATAAAATTTATTTTTGTTATTTTTAGTAATATGAATGATAATTTTAAAGCGATT